AAAATTAACTCTTCCACTACTACTAATAAGTCTATCAGTGAAAAATAAATCTACCACTACTATAAATAAATCTACGACTGCGCGAACCATCAATAAGTCTACCGATCACAAAATTAACTCTACCACTGCTGCTAATAAGTCTATCACTCCAAAATAAATATACCACTACTATAAATAAGTCTATGATTGCGTGAACCATCAATTAATCTACCGGTCACAAAATTAACTCTACCACTACTAGAAATAAGTCTACCGATCACAGAATTAACTCTACCACTACTAAAAATAAGTCTACCACATATTATATATCTATCACTACTATAAAGAAGTCTTCGATTGCGAACCATCAATAAGTCTACCAACTATTTAATAAATCTACCAATCGCAAATAAATATACTATCACATGAACGATAGACTTATTCGCTGCTTCATTATTGGCAGTTTCGTAAATACGTTTTTTGTCTTCAAAGGGAATAAGACTAAAACGGGTATAAAAAATCTTTCAAGATTGTTTGAGTAATTGTGAAAGATTAGCATCTTTTTGGTAAAAAAAAAAACTATTTTTCAAGGTTGTTTTAGTAAACCTCCCATGGTTTTATATGAAAAATTATCTCAATTGCACAGTTTGTTCTAATACAACGAGAGAAAAGATTCCAGTGGTAGAGGAGGAGTATCGATGATTTCATGACAGTAGCTAGCAAACGTTTCTCGGAATATTTTTCCCTTAATTAGTTCAGTTTTGGGGACGCTTTGAGTGTTATTGAAACACATTATGATCATTGATATTTCTTGAGAAGTGACTATACCTTTTCTCAATACAAATTAGAGCAAAAAACTCTCTTTCACAGCTCAAACAACTAATCAAATCGCCAAATCCGGAATCTTCTCTCGTCGTCTAGTGACAAACTTGGTAGCAAAACAACCCTCTTAACAACGCACAAATCCTCTGTGTGGTCGGGTTTCACTTGAAAAAATAGAGAGCAACTCTCTTCGGATCCAGAATGTGTCTAGTTATTCGGGGATAAATATACACCTGCGACCAAACACTCATTTTGAAAACATGCGGATCCTATTAGACCCGTTTCGGATCTGAATAGAAAGACGCAGTTCTTTTGATGTTTTCCAAATTATTTGTGGCTTTTACAGATATAAAGAAAA